CAGTTCTAAACTTTCCTGAAGCCGAAACTGAGGGCCTGGAAATCCTCGCTGTGTCCTAGTGCATTGCGGATGTTCCATTTGAAGCAACCTCTGCTAAACTTCAGGTTTACCCTGCAGGGAGCACCGCTGACTCTTCCAGAGAGTCTCCAACTGCACATCCAACTAACTTGGTTTGCTGTACCGACTCTTGGACATAATTTTAAATCTACTTGGGGTTGATCATCTAACAGTGAGGTCAAGTGTCCTGGCTGAGATAAGTTAGTTAAATAAGATGACTTAACCAACATTTTTAATGTTGATTTAAAGCTTCTCGTTGAAGAGTCACTGACTGAATGCTCTGTTAATGTTGCCATGTGCTTGAAACAATTTTTATCCAGCGGAGTTTAAACATTGATTTCTGCTTCTCTCTCTCCTTTTCTTGTTCCTCTCACACAGTCACTTTGTTGTCATACAGTAAACATGAAGAATATCAGAGGAAGAGAATACTGTCAATGTAATGTATGTCCAACTATGTAATACGATTTGCTGTGAAGATAGAGGGTGCAATAAGTTAAGCACTCAGAAAGAAATATGTGATTTGGAAGTTATTTGGTACAGATGCAGACCAGAGATGTATATGTAAACAATTTCATGTGCAAGGAGCTGGCACATCCAGAATAGAGACCAGACGGGAGGAATGATCAAGAGTCAAGCCAAGTACGATATGCTATTACTGGGGCATTTGACACCTAGTCCAAACTGTGAGCGAAGGTCTTATCATACATATCTCCGACAGTATCATGAGCTCTTGAAAGAGTTGGATAGGATTCTGCATGAGGTTAAAGGACAAGTAAAAAGAATATATAAAAATGAGAAAATGTGACAGAGTGAATTTCTGAAAATGTGAACTAAGACATGAGCTCCATCATGCAGCGACAGAGCAGCAGCTGCACTGCCAGCTTTCATCATCAAACAGGTAACCATCACACCCCCTCAATTTCACTACTTCATTAAAGATCTCAATTTCCACTCATCTCCAAGTGAGCTGTGGTTAGGGCTGGCCATCTCACTAATTTACTTCCATTTACTGTGATCTCTGCCCAGGCTCCTCATCGGGTCTCAACAACAAAAATTATTCCAGTTTTCCTCTCAGAGCCATAAAATCAGAGGCAGTTTCAGCAACTGAGGGTGTCCACAGTGAAAATAGTCCCCTCTACACCTCTTATGATAATTCCTTTCATAATGAGCGAGCAGAAAACACTCTTGCTTTTTATTTTCATACAGCACTTTGCAGCTGGTGAGATTAATAAGCCAAGATTTGTAAGGCAAAAACCGGAGACAAATGCGAAGGAGGTTATAGATGCAATGATTTGCATAGTGCATAAACAGGCTTACTGATGTAAATTGTGAAAATGTTCATTCATTTAAACATCTTAAAAGGTAAAAATCCTGAAAAAAAAAAAAAGGGGTAATAAGCTGAATCAGAAGACAAATGCACAAATAGGTTATTTATTCATCCCTCTGTAGAATTTGGTCACAGACTTTAAGTCAACAATTGTGATGGAGCAGGGATACATGTATGACTCTGGAAACCATCCACTGGGGTTCAAAGCGCCAAGCTATGAGGGAGTCTTTTGGATCTTTTAATCTGAAAACAGGATTTGTATCGTTTCTCTGTTTAACTGACACCTTTCTGTCCAAAGAAATCACAGCCGACTCATGGTTTTCTTCTTGTGTAATACAGTTTCTTGTCATATTTCCAGAGCCACAGGAAAACATTTCTTTTTTACAGAAAATTACATCGATATTATTGCCCAAGATAAATCAAATCAAAAATACCTAAATGAATAAAGGATTCAGTCAGAAATGATGTTTTAGAAAAAGCTGTTTTAACCTGAGTAAATTTAGAAACAAAAATCTGTTTTACAAGCATATTGGAAACCTCATGATAGTGTCTCATTGCATTAGAAAAAAAAAAAAAAGGTGTCTGTGCACTTTCTCTTAAACAGATGACGTGAAGAAATCTTATTTGACATAAAATCATTTTTTTTGTCTTATTTATTACAATTGTTTGAAGTTGTTTTGTTATGGTTATATAACTCGCTAGAGCCACCGTCTCTGTAAAATCAGAGGAGACTTGGTGTTTAAGATCTATAAATTATAAATTAAAGGAACATCAGTCTACAGTGTTTTCTGTGACAAGCCGAGAAAAAAAAAAATCTGAAAACCCAGCAGATCCAACCCCATCTTCCTGACATAAAACTAACACACACTTCAGGGAAACATGTTTTCAGGGGGAGCAGTTTGAACTTCATACGTTTTAGTTCTTCATAAAACAAATAAACAAGAAAATCCCCAAAGCACAAAAACTCGTGCTTTATGTGCAGTATATGTGTTCCTTCTTTCTTTGCATCTATAATGCAGACAAAGTGTGAATACATTTATAGGGATGGATTTCTGCTTCTTTGTTGTTGCTGATGCAAAGAAGTCAATGGTAACTTTACTCTGACATGTTAGGAACAGTTTGTCTACCAGAGACTATGTGGACCCCGGATGTTTTAGAGCCTAGACAAACAGCTGTGGATTTGGCTTTGTTCGCCTCCAAATGTGGAGGCAAACACTTCGGTGTTGTGTGCATCCAAAGTAAATTCACCTGTCTGAAGACATCTGCTGCACACGCTTTATACCTGAAAATTCTGGATGTCTGGGAGGTTCTGCAGCTTGGTTTTGTGTCTGAACTGGCTCTTAAGGAAAGATGACAAGTTTAAAAATGTACTGAGCTAAAATGGATGCAGTTGAAAGTGAGATGAAAAGAGTCTAACCCAGTGATCCTCAAAACAGGTGCAACCCACCTCAATCTAAAAAAATGTAGTACACAAAGATAAAAATATTTGACAGACTCAGGGGGGGTTTGAACATTTTTCATGAATCCTTGTAATAATGGGACTAACCTTCAAGATTTCATGCTTGGTCTTTTTTTTTTTGTTTTTTTTTTAGGAAATAGTAATTGAGCAACAGACTGGAATTTTGGTTAAAAATATATCTATCATAAAAAAAAAAGCATTGCTATGTTTGAAACAAAGTGCTGTATTTTAGTAAAAAATAAATAAAGCGACTGTTTAGATTGTATAAAAATGTTCACTTTATACATAATGTTAATCTATAGAGAGACGAGGACAACAGCAGTTGGAGATGAAAATGTCAAAGTCCAAAGAATAGAATACAAAACAATAGATGGGCTTCTTTTTATCAATTCCAACAAATGAACACATTTTTACACAAATAGTCTGTATCCTTCTCAACACACTATTAAAGAGGACCGTTCACTTAACAGCTTAGGTGGAAAAAAATGAACGGAGAGGTGAGCTACGAGCTCCATTCGTTCTTCATACTCCAAGTCAGCGCTACTGACTTGATGTATGGTTTACTTGAATAAAGCAGATTACACACAATTCTGATCTGAGGCTCCCACACCTATATAAGCCGTTGATTACTGTCTGCCAGGGTATATGTGCTACTTCTTTAAAAGTAGATAAAAATGAATACATGGCTTCACAATGAACCATTGTGTTCACCTATGTAAAGAGGACATTTGCAGCAGACTATTAACATTTGCTTATTTTCTCTCCCACATGGCTTATTCTAATGTTATAAATTATCATAAAATAATAGAGAAGTAATATATTATGTAATATTCACCTTCCTAAAATAATGGAGTAAGTTAAAAGTGATTTTTTTTTTTGCCTAAAACATCTCTTGGAAAGAAAGAAGTGATGACTTTTTGACCAAAATAATTTTTCACAAAAAATTACGTAGGCCATTATTTCTGGAAGGTGACAATATGTAAAAAAAAAAAAAAAAAAAAAAGTAGGGTTATTGCTTACATACCACTGTTAATATCCAACTTTTGGTTCATATCATAGATGTCAACTTTACACCTTTAAAGCTAGATATCCATGTATTAGAGATCGAAGTTTATAGGTAGACACCTATAAACTTCATTCCTTTTTAAAATTTAGTTTAATTGGGTAAAGTGACAGCGAAGATGTTCTAAGCAGCAGATCACATTACAGACTCATCCATTTGCTAAATGACATGAGATCCGAGGTCGGCCTCAACCATCTCAAAATCATGCACACATTTAACCTATTTAAAGGGAAGTGAAGCACTTCGCCTCATGTGCCAAAACTCTGACTCATTAAAAAAATTTACACGGGTATCGCTGCCAGTGGACGGCAACCTCTGGCTTCTTCTCTCTTATAATTAATGACATTTATGTATTGCTCTGCTCACACCAGACTTGTGAGCTATCAGCTGTGGCAGCAGTTTGTTCACAGCCAGTCAGGTAAGAAGCTCAACAACTTCAGCGTGAGCAGGCCGCTTAAGAGCGCCTGAATCCGTTTAGGCGTGAAGCAGAAGTTTCTTAGCCTCAAGGTTTTTTAGATGCAGAATACACGCTCTGTCACTGTGGGAGTGTTGTGGGAGTTGATTCGACTCATGAATCAAAAAGCAGTTTATTCACCCTTGTTTCAACTGTAGATGCTCAAGCTGTAAAATCTGTCAACTCCTCAGTACACTTCAGTCTTCTTTCCATTTCAATTACTCATAGTATCATGCTGTGGAAGTATCTTAGCAATCATAAAAATAAACATTTAAATAATTATACATTTCCTCAACTTCCCTCAATATCAAAGGTGCAATATGCAGAAACTCAAGTGTGTTCAAATTGCTAATAAGGCTTCTTTCATGTTAGTACAGCTCATGTGCACCACAAGACTCAGTCTTGTGGTGAAATGAAGTCATATCTGAATTTTTTCTGAAATGTCTCTTTTTGTTAGTTTTTAAATCTAGCTTTACAAACGTGCTTTGTATAGCAAAGTAAAAGGTTCTTTGACTTTCTTCTAAAGTAAAACAACCTTTCTTCTTTTACTGTAGAAGAAAGGTTGTCATGACCCCTCTTGCAAACCTGCTCATAGTGACCACGTCTAGATTTTTAGAGGGATGCACATAAATAACCGCACCTGTGCTACAGCGACGTGAGTCTGCTGCTGCTGCTGCTGAAGCTGCTGCTGGAGCAGCTGGATCTGGTGGTGGACAGACAATGGAGCCCCGGGAGGCAGCGTGCCCGACGCTGGGAGCAGCATCCTGGGACTGGACATCAGAAGAGAAGGCTCCTCCAAAACCTGAGAGCAGGAAGAAGCCAAACACATGTCATTTCTACCATTAAAAAAACAAAAAAACATCAAGTTCTAGTATGAAAAAGCATTTTTTTAATGGCTGCTTTTTACACAGTTTCCACAGACTTCTTATACCTGATAATGTGCACTTTGTGTGGTATCATCTGCTATGCACACCAAATTTATCTAGTAGCATCTAGGGATTTAAGGTGCTGCAAAAATCAGATCTTCTGTCCATGTAATCTTTGCGTTTACACTGAACTTAAATGTGTCATAAATGTTGAGGTAGAAAAATTGTCTAAAGAAAGAAAACTTGTCTAAAGATTCTATTTAAATGATTAAACTGGTTCTTTTTTGTTTCCCTTGACATTAAGTGTTTTTTCATGCTTTAGAGGTTGGAGGTAAGAGATCTAATAAAAAGCAGTTAACGGGGCAAATTTTACCAAGTGGGGAATATAAAAAAGCTACATACAGACAGTAATTTCTTAAATAACGAGTGGCTAAATGAGCTTCATAACAAAAACATGCTTGCAAAAAAGTTGCACTTGAGAATGCCTCTAGGTAAAATAACAAAGCAAGTGATTAATGAATCAATAAAAAGGACATGCAATAGGATCACCAAAATACCTTAGAAAACAAAAAAAAAATGACTTGTAAATGTTGAGATGCTGATTAGCTGCTGCAGTGTGGATCAGTGGAACACACAGAGAATTGAGATGAGGATCACAGAAATGCTTCACTCCAGTAATAATGAGCATTGGGACTCAGTTCTCATCCACTGAAAGGTGTTTTCCTAACTGTCGTAAATATTTCATTAAAAGTCCAACATTGTGCTTTTTCCATCACTCAACCTGTCAAAAATCATTTTTTAGTTTCACAAATCTTTTGCTTTAATCACACCATAGCAAGAGCAAATTGTTATCCTAGAGGGTATCTACAGAATACAAGCCTCTGAACAGGGAATATTACTAAATGAATACACTTTAAATCACTGGTGCTTTAATTCCCTACCAAATAAGGAGATGCGCTTTATCTTCCTATGGACACAATTAGTTTTAAAATTCTACACAACCAAAATAAAATTCAAGGAATTTCAAGCATAGAACGACTACATTAAGTTATTTATAATTAATTCTTCCATATTTAATGTCATGTATTTTGTACAATTCAGTTGAAAAACAATTGAAAGTATTGATGTGCCCACTCTTGCACTAATACTCCATTAAACCACATTTCATTCCATGTCTGGTCATTACAGAATGTTGGTTTTGCTTTTACTTGTGTGTGTGTGTTTTTTTTTTTTTTTTTTTTCATAAGCAGTCAATTCTGCAGACTTTATTGCACGTTGCTGAATGAACCTCAAAGTCCCAATCCCTAATAAGGAAAGAACAGGTGCGTCAAAGTGACTGGAATTGTGACTCTGGCTAGAGTCAGCATAACAACTCGACACCTGATTATATTAAACCTTGGTCTGCCTTAAGGAACCTGCGAGAAGCCACATTAGCATCTGTCGCTCCTTAAGCACCTTCTGGCAACACGGTGTCAGTCATCTGCGCACACGCATAAAACACACACTTGCACACAAGGAGCCAGACAGACTCTGCAGGAGATGGGTAAATGACTGATGGCCTGTCAGAGATGGCTCTTTCAGGTTAGTAGAGGCTAATTATCCGTCCTGACAGACTGCTTGGAGACATGATGAAGGGAACAGTACAACAGGATATAGTCTTTGTTCTGCGAGTGGACACCAATCCATTATAACAATAAAACTACAAGTTGAGTACCGCATAGCTTCCTGTGACAGCTACCAATACAGGTATAGAACTCAAGGGTGGAGCCTGATTGGCTGGATATCCTTTTAGTTCAAACTCTTCACACCAGATTTAGACAGTCCTGTGACCATTCAGAAATGGCTTGAATGAAAATCGTGAGGCTACTATAATGTTACAGTCCCAACCAACTAGATTTTTCACTGTTTGCAATCCAAATCATATTTCCACAAAGCCACTCTTATGGGAATCATGTTTGCACAAAGATGTTTCTTTAAGCTACTCAGAATTTCCCCTTATGTGTGTGAAGTTTCTGCACTTCTGCTATAAGAGCTGCATACCATCAACCCCATGATAACTGTAACTTTAGCAGGTGAAATCAGATCATTCCAGTAGTTTTTATTTATATTTGTGAGCCAATCAAACCGAGGCTCTAAAGCCTGAAGTTATTTTGTTATGAGTACCACTCTTAAAAATCATGTATTGAAAATTTTAAGGTCAAATTGCTTGTAACAATGTAGCCTAAAAACTTTTATACTCCTCCAAGTCTTGCAGAAACTAACACAGCCGAGCCTGCGTGCTGTTTGCAGTTGAGCAGAGCCCTTCCAAGCTGAAACTCTTATTCCACTGCTGAGTGAGATCTATATCATTTCTGACCTATGTGTAAAGTGCCTGGGGGTGGCACGGTACACATTGATTTGTTTGTTGCGGCTGCTCAGTGGGATCCTTTTGTATGCATCTGTAGAGCAAGGCCAGAATGGCCAATCTAGCATAACATTCTCAAATAACCAGGCTGGGCAAGTTTGCACTAGACCGATAGAATCATTTCATTACATAGGAGCTGGATGGGCGAAACACTGTAGTTCACGGCAATCACCTTTTTCCATACAAGTAGTTATAATAATTAGATTTGTTTTTTTCATTTGACTTTTAAAACTTAAAAAAAAGTTTCTTCTAAGTCTTTGCAAATCTCTTTCAATTGAGTTCTTGTGAACTTATTCGTTACATCAGATCTTGAGGTTTCCCCAAAAGAACGCAGCAGTGTAGCTGGATTATGTTGTCAAAATCCCCTGTCAGAGATTTAAATATTCTTATAGATCAGTGTGTATGTGCGAATGACGGCTGTAGATCTGTCCTTGGATCAAATAAAACGTTTGTGTTAAATTAAGTCTTTAAAACCCTTTTTCTTTCCTCTGAGTTACCATGAGATTCCTGAGCCACATCTTGACTGTGAAATAAAGGATGTTAAACAGGATTACAGCTGTGATGTCGAAGCTGACAGTGGTATAAGATAAACTAAGATTTAGTAAGTGGAAATGTGAGTCACATGAGTCAGCACTCAATAACAGAACTAAGTTATGACATGTTTGACTTTTAAGCGTTATGGGCACAGAAACACATGCCATTCTAAGTAGTAAGAGGAATAAACACAGACATAAACGCAGTGTCAGTGAAAGTAGTACAGGATGATACAAAACAGATGGAAAATAAACACCTTCACACTCCTTCACTTTACTAGGCTTCTATAAAGGCAACATCAGAACATTCTGTTGGTTTTATAGAAGCAACAAAATGAACTAGAAATGTAGCCATCTACCTGTAAAAGAGCAAGCCAGTTTGACAACTGTTTCCATATGCTTTATGAAAGAGATGCAATTACTAAAGCCAAAATTCATCATCCAGGCCAGAGGAGAAAGTTCAAACTTGGACTTAACACAATGGATCATCTGAGGTCTTGGGAAACTCGGACAAAACAATCACAGGTCCAAGTTTTACAATGCAGTAAAGGCTGCAAAAAAATAAAAAAATAATAAAGCAAACTATCATAATCCCACTAGCAACTTATTTTTACTCCACATATCTTTACCTTTAGTATTCAGTATGTAAATGTGTGTGCGAATGGGTAATTGACTGAATGCAGTGTAAAGTGGTTTGGGGTCCCCCTGAAAAGATTTTTAACATTTAGCATTACTATGTTTTTATGTTGTTCAAACAATATTTAAGTGAAAAAGAAAATAACAACAAAAAAACAAAAACAAAAACAAAAAAAAAACAGTGCAGCCTTAAGCTCTCAAAAAGTTGTCCCAAATCAAACAGAACTGGTATGAACTTAGAGGAAATTAAATTGGATTCCAGTTGTTTCCATTCTTGTTAGCAAACAATCACAATGTAAACAATAGTAAATGAACGGGGAACTCCAAGTGTGACAATACACTTCTGGTTTCATTCACAATACAGATGTCTACTACATTTAACCAGTCAAATTGTCTTCTTCTCCGAACAAACTACTAAGTTATTTTATAACCAATCATTGTGAATCTGGATTCTAATATAATAAAGAAAATATCCAACATAGTAGCAATTTTCCCCCAGACCGATTAACCCTAGTTGAAATATGTTGCCTTACATGTAAAATAAATATTTAACAACAAGGAAAAAACCGAAGACATGCAGTGATGCAAACCCAAAAGCAGGAAGTGAGAAGTTGTGTACACAGAACAGCTTCTCCCTCTGTGTTTTATATTTGCTGTTTGAAATGAGAACCAACGATGAAACTCCTCTGGAGCATTTCCTAATGTTGTTCACCAGGTAAAAGCTAATCAGGGAAGAGATGCAAGTCAAATTTCAAACTGAGAATTGAATTTAAATAAAGTCTGAACACCACCAAAATTCCTCATAATACGTCTCCCATTCTGCTATTAGCATACAATTCCCAGAAATGCAGTACATATACTGAGACTCACTATTTCCAGGTCACAGGAATCTTTATTCATTTTATTAGATTGTTTATGTAAGAAAGGGGTGAGAAGGAAAGGTAAATAAAGATTGATGATGAGGCCTAAAGGAAGTCGTTATTCCTCCTCCCACAGCCGCGATTACACTAGCTGCTCCCTGACTGTCAAACAGCCTGCTTCTTCCCACGCACACTCACAAACACACAGGCTAGAAGAGAAACTTGTCAGGTTCTGGGTTTTCTCACTGACGACAGCCTTGGGTAGAGATTTACAACTTTATCAAAGGCTCTTAAGAAACAGCATGCCGTTTCATTCTATATTGCCTTCAGTAACTTTATAACAAACCATTAAACATTAAAGTTAATGAATTGGAACACAAAACCGAAGATCGTTCTTGAGTTAAAACGTGTATTTAACACCTTTTCTAAGATTTCTTGTTTCCAAGAATAAATAAGTGTTCCAGATTTCTCTCTCTCTCTCTCTTTTTTTTTTCCAAAAACAG